TCTTAAATGCGAGTAATTGTTTTGAACGAATAGTTGATCAAAAAAAAACAAAGAATATCAGTCGTTCATTGAGCAGTAACTCAAAAAGTTATGCGTGAGGCCAAATGATCGGTTTCTGTGAGGTTTGCTTTTTGGGAAACAGGGAAACAAAATTTCCGAGAAGGAAGGAGCCATTCCCGGTGGCAGAAGCTAGAGATAAACCAAGACTAACCTCAATCGGAACTCAATCGAAAGCATCCGGTACCGTCACCTTCTCCACTGCGGATTGTGGGGCCTTCTACATAAGGCGAATTCGTAAGTAAGGCGCTAAAGCAAGGTATGGGGCACTAAGGGGCGGATAACTAGGACTAGGCCCAGAACAGGGCGGGAAATTCTGGGGAAAAATGAAGATTGATCCTCACCTTTAAACCTCCTCCCGTATAAGAGCTAGTCTCGATTCTAACAAAAAGAGTTGTTTTACGCAGTTTTGAGTGCGTTGCCATCACAATGCCCCGTATCTTGCCATAGCGCCGGAACTCGTCAAAAAACACTGAAATAAGGCTTAGAGTTCAATGTGTGAACACACACATCTACTGTCAAATCCAGTCTTGCAATCACTACTTCCCCGCCTCTCGTTAGCCAATGTCCCAGTAATCTACCGGATGAGTCATACGGGAAGAGCTGTTGAATAATATTATTGCAAGCAGCGTGCTGCTGACTTCTGCTGTCTATCCATCCCTTCTCGTCCCGAGCCCCTTCCGAGTACGATTATTCGAATTCGGATGAGTGTACATATGGGTGAAAAGGTGTAAGAACTTGTCTTACAGTGTTCCAAACCTACGAACATCTACTCACTTTTCACATCATAGAGTGCCACTTTTGTTCGACGCAGTGCGTTGGCTTAGCCTCAGAGCTGTTGATAATGAACGACAGAAGCTGACTAATGATGTCCGGGAAAGCGTGGGACAGCCAACTTTGTCTGATTGGTGCAGAATTTCGCGAGCAGTCTCTTGAATAGATGAACCATTCTACTTGGAATGGCGACAAAAATGAGAATATCGCTAGGAGCAAAACGTGGCAAACGACTTCTCTTCAAAGTCACTCGAATTTAGGTTGAAAATTACCTTTTTGTGAAAAGACCTAGCACATAACATAGAGCGGTTCTTCCGTATTAACACGTTGACGACAGCCCCTTGTGCGTGTACCTCGGCACCTTTTTGTTTATTTTTTCACAATCGTCATAACTTCTTCAATAATTCCACTACTGGTAATTGATGCACAGTTTTTCGGATAAGATAATGCATGCACACTGTTTTGAAATATGAAAAATGCCAGAATAAAAAAAACTAGCCAGAATCGGGTGAAATTGAAACGCGCAACCGCGTCTCACTGTCGTCATGTGTCAATATCGTTTTCCGGTTAGACGAGGACATCTGTTACCTTTAAAAGTGTAGTTGTGATTTGAGAGCTGATCCTTCGGGAGAAGAAACTGCAAAAATCTTCAGTCTATGTCGTTCCTCCTAATTATATTATCTGTTGGAAATGAATAGCTATAGATTTTTCTTACATACAACATTCATTCTCGCTGACAAGATGTGAGCCTAAATCGGCCATCAAAGCAAATGGCAGAAAACTCTGGAATTCTTCGGTGATCTCAACAGAGATGTCCACAGCTCAACCGTGACTCTCGTGTGTGTGGCCATTCTTTCTATCGATCTGAGCTCTTTTTATACCTTGAGAGACTTCGATGCACCCTATGGTGAGCTCTAGAAGGCTGTGATTTTGTTAATCTCAATTGCAGAATGCCAATCAAAACACTGCGCACCCTCAGGCTATCCGCCTGAGATGAGGATGAGAATCGCCGTGAGATAGACAAAAAATTGCATATCCCACATGTTATTGAGCGGAAAATATGCGCACGCAAATGGCAGCTTATGAACGCGAGCGTTCATAAAATGAAGCGTTTCTCGTAACGAGCAAAATGATCTTCCGAAGCATTCTTTCCAGGATACAAGCTTCCTAGAAAAATGTCCTTATTAGTATTACTCTAGAGAGATCTCATCTCCATACCCCAAGGAATGAAGTTAAGGTGGTAGTTTAATAGGTCCAAAAGGGCAGCGGGTTAACTTTAGTTCTCATTTGATTTATTCCACTCATTTTTCCAAGAGCTCCACATATTTCCTCAGTCGCGAACTTAAAGGAATCCTTCGCGGAAAATTCTTGCATTCTTTCTAACATGAATGTGTCAGTTGTGATCACTGGAAACAGCACACAAAGTTTCACGCATGAAGATTCGGTTTCCGAAGAGAAACAAACGTACAAAAACTACACTCTATGGACAATCGAAGGTAAGGCGGCGGAGCCAAAGGCGAGGCATGGAAAGAAGTCCGCCTTGGGCCGGCTAGGCGACGCAATGAAAGAATCGGGTTAAATAGCACGAGCAGGTTTCCGGTTTTTGCGAAATTTTTTTACTAAAAAAATGTTCAATCTTTCTATTGTTTTCATTCTCATTGTGGATGATGTGTCTCAAGCAAGTGACTTATGGCTGGAATAGAATCAAGATTTTTCCGTGAAAGATTCCTTTAAGTCTGCACAAACCTGGCGCTGCTTTCTCAAAGCAATCCTTCAGCTCGTTCCAACCCCGACACAAGTTGGATGCGAAAGTATTCCAAAAATCAAAATGTATATTGAATCATGCTTTCCCTCTCTTGTTCTTAGCAGATCAAATGTGCGAGGGGTGAAGGTGGTAAATGAAGAATTACATTATTCGAGAGGAAAAGGAATAGGAATGGTCAGAGTATGTATAGCAAGCCTCAGGACTCCGTTAAGGCTGAACTCTACAAGCTTCTGACGGTCAATTCTGGCGGCCATTATGCAGCACTCGGTCATAGTAATGCGATATTCATACTCCATTTCACTAACTACAGTGTGCAGGTCCCTTTTGAAAAGGTACACCATTTCCTGAACAACTTTGCAGGTCCCTGCAGGCGGCGATAATCTTAATCTTGTTTGCTGCTTGTCACTGAAGTCATTCCCTCGCCATTCATTGCGGAAGCTTCCTCATGCACCGACATTTAAAGGCACAACCCAGGCAGAATCTTATGAATGACTCCCATCGGTCTCTAGGATAGGCCTAGAGGACAATCACAGGTATGCATTCCTGTGCACGAAACCAATCGAAAGCAGTGTAGGGCCTTGCAGAGTAAGCTGCTGAAGATGCACATTGTTTTACCACCAGACTCTTACCTGGCTCTCCTCTCATCTGTTGCGCTCTCTCGCCTCACACACTTCTTGCTTTGTCTCCCATTGCCAGCCGATCATAAAGGTGAGCGAGCCTCCTAACCACCTTTTCAACGGATTCTTCTTTTTCTTTACTGCCGCCCAATACGCGTGCAAGAACCACACCATTTTGATCCTGGGCATGCCTTTGAGGATGTTTCTCTCACCAAGCATTCTTGCTTTCCTGGGTTACTTTTCATTGCACTTACCCTTGTGCTACTTCCCACGTGGGAATGATCCACATGATTATTCCTTTCTCATAATCATCGTATTGCCCTTTCCTCAATTCTGACATCTCATACCATTGTTCAGTTAGTCAAACGAAGCTCAGCAGGCGTTGTACGGCCACGAATCCACAATCCAATGCTAATACTTTTGAATCAAATCAATAATCGCTCGATTTCATCGCTGGCTTTGCCTATACAAAATTCTGTGCAGGGCTGTGTCCTCTCTGTGTTATATAGTTAAACTTTAATATTCTCAGATCGATATCAGTGGAGCGGAAGTGTGTAGTGGCAAGTGGCACGCTTACTCACCACGCGAGCGGTCCGGGGATCAAATCCTGGGTCGTGAGTCGCCCGGGCCAACCAAGCCTTCCATCCCTCCGGGGTCGGTTAATTGGTACCAGACTTGTCTGGGAGGATAAAAAACACTGACTTGAACATCGGCTGGCCCCCGCAAGTCATTGTATAGGCCACATCGCATTCAAATGCCACTACGAATGTACAAATGGAAGTAGAATGCGTGCCGCATCCCAAAAAGGGATTGATCAACGGCAAATGCTTTATCCTTTATCCTTTTTATTCATTATCAGTCAGCTGAAAAGGAAGGAAGGGAACAACGGTTGACGAAAATCGGATTTCAATATGTCCAAGTAGGTTGCAAAAGAAGCCTCTACACGTCACTCCTCCCGCTACCACTTTCTTGGGAATGCGTGCTCTCTGGCCGCAATCTTCAACACTTTCCTATGGATAAAAAATATACTCAACCTTACCTTTGATAATCTTCGAATAAATTTTTATTTTGCTGCAATTCAATTATGAAGAACAGCTCATAAAAATTTGAATCCTGAAGAGTGCCCACCTATAGTGAGATATGACAGCCCGATTCCATGTTGTGTATGGAATCAGGCTGTCAGATCTCGCTATAGGTGGGCACTCACCAGGATTCACATTTTTCATCTCCCTGGTCCCTAAGCAAAATGTGTTGAGTAATTCTGAAGGTTTATGGCATTCTAACACTGCAAACCCACCGACTCCGCCCCATCTTCCACATACGTATTTCACTTTTTCTAATTCATTATTGGGAACTTTCCTATTCACGTAGATCCTTCCACTGCTTCAGTTTCCTCTATGCCTACCCTCGCCTTCAAATGACCAGAAATTGTGCAATTGCAGAAATTGACGTGGCATTAACGTGGCATCGATTCAAGAACATCTTTGAGCACACGTGATGTCACCTTTTCATCGAGAATTTAGCCACGTGTGCCAATGCCACGTCAATTTCTGCAATTGCACAATTTCTGGTCATTTGAAGGCGAGGGTACCTACGTCATTCAGTCGGCGTATTGTTTTCCTTTCTTACAGAAATGTTCTTCCATAATCTCATCGCACGTGAATGAATTACGTCCCATTCCCCATTTCTTACATTCATGAATCTATTCGTTTGTAACGGAGTCTCCGTCGTCATGCTGCAGCAGCTACTAAGGGTTCCCATCTTTATAGGTCACAGTATCTCTTCGGATGTGCGTAGCAAAAAAAGACAAGCTTTCGCCCGCCGCCGGGGACAAGCCGACTGCCCTTGTCGATGAGGTGAGCGGCCGAATATGATCATTTTGTCTTAGTATCACGACGTTTGTCAGGAAAGGGCGGAAGTTCTGCCGTTTACTCCAGAGTGATTGACCCAATGGCACAACTTATCTAGGAGAATTGTTGCTCATTTACTCTCAGCTGTTCAATTTGTAGTTTTCCAGTCCTATATCAGTAATTTCTGAGTATTGACAGGTGTCGGCACCCCGTGGCTTCGGCATACGCAGCTATCTGCACAATTTCTATTTATCTCCAACTGTAGAAGAAATGGAACAAGGTGGAGCGTGGTAAGTGCTTCATGAATCATTTTATCTTTATATAATGCCCTTCATTTTCCAAAACTAGGAGAGCGTCGAGTGCAGACCACATACCACAAGTGATGACGACCAAGAGAAAAGTGGCTACTTTCTCCTTCTTTGGCTTCTTTTCTTTTTTCTTGGTCGTCGTAACTTGTGGTATGTGGTCTGCACTCGACTGTTTTCGTAGCTGTGGCACAGGTTTCACTCTCTACATAACCCTTTCGGTTTGCCAATGCACTACGGTATTATTTATCTTGGTGAATGTGACGCAATTACTCGATTAGGAACTCTAGCAGCAACTGAATACGCTCTAAGAAATAGGGACTCATCCAGTGCGCTCCAAAAATTGTAACAGATGAGGTTGTGTCCAGGATAGCGCGTTCGACTTCACCTTCTAGGGCTACTTCTGCGACCGCTAGCCATTTGGACGGCTCTATATACTGGGTGTCTTTTTACTTGATGTCTACCTTTTCTTTTCGGTGATAAGAATTCTTAACCACTTACTTCATCCGGAAGGCCAGACCACATAAAGCGGTGAATTGTTCTCCCAAAGAGAGACATCCATTCTCTTATTTACTCTTAAATCTGACGGCGACGTATTGAAAGAAACATATTCTTAGTATCGCTGAGATCTCCATAATGAAGCAGGGTTCACTCTTCACGTTTCACGGAAAAACGGAGCTCAGGCATCAACTTGCAGGGCGCTAAGTGAAACCTTCACATAATCGCCCCTTTGGAGAACTTTCTATTCACTTTGTGTTCGGGTGATCGCTGGCTAGGACACATCTGATGCCGGGCATAAAGAGAAGGGAACGGGAATCCTCTCTCTTTGGACATCTTTTCGATTCCTCAGTCTCAGAGCAAGACCTGCGAAACGCCTCTCACATTATGCTTCGGTTTCAGGTATCTTCTTCCTCCACCACCTGCTCAACGACGTGGACTGTTCATCTGCCGTCTTTGCACCGTGCTAGGACTACTTCTTTTGATCGGCGGGGCTGTTTCTATTGTCATCGGCTACACATGGCCTCACGAGGGCATCGAACAAAGCATTTACAAGATTGTGATCTACGAGGTGAGTATCCACCTTGTTTCCGCAGTCGTTTCTTGCCATTTCATTGCTGCTGAATGTGACCCCCGGATTGAGAATACTGCAGTTAGGAACTACAGCTTCAAAACCCATCAAAAGTCACAATCACAAGGGCATGGAGTAGGTACATCGTTTAGAGATTTATGGACGATTACCCACTTTGCCGACTAATTCCCTCCAATCAAATAGTTATTATTACCACTTGAAGTGCTTGGCATATGTCAATACTTCTACATGTTCTTTTGTTTGAACCCCCTAAAACCAAGCTCCAATGACCACCTTTTTCACAATTTATAGGCGATTACCCCTGTTCGCCAAACTAATTCTCTCCAATCAAGATAGTTATTATTTACCACTTCAGCGCGGGCATAATGTCCCTGCATAAGTGGTAATATAACTATCTGCATTGGAGGGAATAAGCAGTCCATTTAATGTACTGCGATGCCTATGTTTACACTTTGGCGAGGGGGGCGGGAGAGAACACGTGGCGGCTTCGCGCAAGCACGATGGCACTAAATCTGAGCCTAGGGAAGAGTGGGTAGGTTGTAAACAGTGTGATGTGTTTCGCAGAATTCAACCTTGGGAAATTTTGAGCCTCTTTCCGTCTCAGGTTTGAGTTGGAACCACGGGAGCCAGCAAGTGCAGACAACTCGTCCTGAATGCGCCTTTCTCTTATTCCAAAAGGTGACTAGGGAATCCCTGATTCAGGGCTTCGATCGAGCGATTTGCCCGTGACTTTTATTTTCAGTCAACTCGGCCTCCCCCCCATTACTTCATTGCATAAAACCACTGTTTCTCCACCCGACCCGGATCTGCGCTTCTGGACACCACGTTTGCTGGATTCTACGGTTCTGAAATCACTGGTGTACTAGTCAAACCCTCACCTGTCTCCAAGCTCACCTACGTTGTGCTGAATGCTGAGGGAAGAAAATCGTTCCATTTTACATCTGCAGCACCATTCGACACAAAGTTGCCTATGTATCGCGTGGTTCCTGGGAAAGGGAGCGACCCACTATGCCTCTTTCAGTTTGGACCAGAAAGGCTTTGAAACACTCGGCGTTGATCAATCCCCTTTCGGGATGCGCCACGCATTTTAATGCTTCCATAGAAGCGTAGTGACAAGTTGAATGCGTTTTGACCTCTACATTTCTTGCGGGGTGCAGTCGACCGATGTAAAAGTCAGTGTTTTTATACCTTGATCACAAACGGCAGTCGCGTAAGCACTGCAAGGTTGCTGCGACAACTCTACCATGCACGATTAATTGCTAATGTAAGTATTTTCAGAAATACCCTCCATCAAAAGCTCGGAAACTGCCGAGTCGTGCAGACCATACACCACAAGTGACGGTGGCTTTTGAGTTAATCTGGTTAGTGCTGGTTTCATAGTGGTAGCTGATGGTTGGTTAAATGATGGCACTAATTAGTGACAAACAGACAGAATACAACTGCAACAGGTTAATCATTTCATTGGCAGAAAACATTTACATTTGTGAAGGCCGTCGTCACTTGTGGTGCATGGTCTGCACCCGACGCTTTCTCGCTTTTTGAAAGGGAGGGTAGAATATGTAGCGGGATATCACCAATAACAAAACACGACTTATGCAAAGTTTTCCGCGGTACTCTTGATAACCTGAAACCCCGATATCGTGTGATTTTCTGCATTGGGTTGGCCAATGTTCAGTATTCCACCGGCGATTCATAGTTGAGCGAAAGATCTCTTGACCATTCAACTACGACTTGAACATTCGTTGAGCCTTTCCGTGAAAACATCAGTGCACGATTCCTGGCATGCCTTAGTTCAGCAGCCGAGGAACTCACTGTAACAGCAACAGAGCGGCCTCGAGCAACACGGACTGACTCCTACTTAGTCTTGGCAAAACACCTTCTGGTGCTTGACAATTATGAACGAACGTGAAATGCCCTGCGTGTTCCAGAGGGCGCATATTGATCGGTGCAATGCAATTTACGCGATGGGCACTTAATAAAGCTTCAAATAAGCAGAAAGAGCAATATGATGTCACCCCAGCTTTTCCACTGCTGACGACAATCGGACTTCTTACTGCGATTCTGTAACACGAGAACAGTTATTCTTCGAAAAATGTGTGCGCGAACGAATCTTCCTCTCCAGGGAACCGCCGAATGATCACCTTTCTGCGTGAAATCAAGCATCAATGGCTTTCAACTATTCCGTTCAGTGGAAGGAATAACTCAAGGCTACGCACAATCTCACTGAAAATAACATGCTTTCACACCATCTTTGCCGGCTTTCTTGCAAAAAATGCTTGGAAAGACAAAATTTTTAGACTGAACGGCGATTGCCTTTCTCTACATTCCCATGCATATTTATGAGACATAGAAACATATGAGTTCATTAATTGAATCTTCGGGCATCCCAAATCGATTGCACCACACCATAGCGTATTGTCGTATTCAGACTAACTAAACGGCGAGTGGTCGAGAACTCTGGGGGCTACGTAATGTAAATATATTGACACTATCAAATAATACGTTCTTTTCAGTAATGGGAGCTGCAAATTACGTTTATTAGAGCGAAATAAATGCTGAACTTGCTGGGGATAGGGTAATGAATTTCATTGCTGTGGAAGATTTTACTGCTCTCTGGGCATGAATGTAGTCTGCAAAGCATAAAGTTCTTCTTCGTGACTCAGTGGCTGAAGCGCCAAAAGTCTATCGTATCATCAATATATCACAAAATGTTGTAGTCAATGTTGTAGCAACTATACAGGGAGGGGGGGGCGCAATGAAACGAAAACATTTTGCCTCCACATTCAAATGAATTTAGTGCCACTTTGCCAAGAAACCAAATGGCCCCGACATTGAAATTGAGGAGCACATCCCATTTCATGAAATAAACTTCATATCGTCCTTTTACGTGAACGCCATCAGAGAAACCTGCACTCGTAACATGCGGCTGCAGTCGGTAGTTGGTGCCTCAACGGGGCTGTCGACGGATCCCATCAGGGTCAACCCTGCGTGGGTACAAGTACCAACGGAGGGTCGTACTTGGTTTAGCTCGGAGGGGGGAGGTCGTATCCGCTTCAGTTTGTGGTGAAACTCGAGTTTCCACGAGTTTCACCACAAACTGAAAGTAGGCTAGGTGAGTTGGGAGCGCACGGGAGAAAAATTCGCCGTTTTAGCGCGCGTATATACCCTCTAGAAAATGAAGCAGTGGGATTATAAGTTAGAGTTGGGGTAAAGTGGTTGAAATTTAGGGAATTTTGGTAAATTTTTGCTGTTTCATAGTGGGTATATATTCTCCCCCCGCCTCCGCTCGACGGCATTTTTGGAGGAAAAAGTGGGCGGAGTTTGGTGGGTTGAGTGGTACCAGAATTAAATACTATAGAGAGGAATATGGTGGTCGAGGGTCGAAAAGGGGGTCGTACCAAGTCCACCTTGGGGGAGGGGGGTCGTAAAAATTTTTGAAAAAGTAACAGTACCAACGATAGGACTGACCCTGGTTCCTCATATTATTACGGACGTTTTTCTGGAAAGTAGGTTTCGAAGGGGTCTGAGTAGTCAAACTAACGACTTCGAAAACCTATCCAGCAATAAAACTCTCGAGAAATCATGTAAGAGCTCCACACTGGGCAGTTACGGCAGGTTTCCTTAAGCTCGACGACGATGACAGATGACGTCATATTCTGGAGACAGAGAGGGCAGTGAAGGAGGGCTTGCTTCCACATATATAGGGACATTTGAGAAATATTTCATCACAATACTTCCGATCAACGCCGGCGCAGTCCTTGGCGACTGAACGTGACAATGAGAAAATGGTCCCCCCCCTCCCCCCTGCATGGAGTATACTAGAAAATTCATTCTTTTTCTATTATTTTGCTTCCATCGCTGGCCCAAGGTCAAAAGAACAAGGAGAAGCCGACACTCGCTGCTTTTCCATGCTGTAAGAGTAACTATGTACTACTGACACCCGAAGTTGTTTTAATGAAGCTCTTATATGCATTCAGTATCTTCGCCGTCAGCGGCCGTGTCACGTCCGTGCCGTGGTTTCGGCTTTCCAAAGGTGACCGCACCTAGGCGCAACTCGCGAACCACTTTCGAATTCCAGCTCACTTTTCATTACTTCGTTCTGGTCCCTTACTGCACAAATATTCGGACAGGCATCTTTCGCTGAGTGCCGCAGACGGATTCCGTAGACTGATGAAGTGAAACGGAAGGCATTATTTTTCCTCAGAAACGAGTTTCTTGACTGTCCGATTCGCCTGTAACAGTTGGAAGGATGTGTGAGAGGTCCTCCAATACCCTCTTCTTCGATGAACAGACTACAAAATTTTTTCAAGAAATATCGTCGCGCGTAAAGTAAATAATCTGTTCACGTACTTATGGCATTCTAACTGATTATCGTCAAGATCAGTTCGCCTCATACGAACTATTATTTAAGCTCATCAAATCTCGAAAGACCAACGATCCCATTGCATTACGTCAGCAGCTTACGGTCCAGGTCTGCCGATCGTAACCACCAAACCGTAGTTCTCGCTCCCACCGTATCAAGTAGAATTCTATTCAGGTGCGCAAGAGGCGTTGTTTGTGTTTCATCGTGGCGGTCCCGAGTCCTCATAGTATTATTATCCTCTCTCCAACGCTGTTGGGGTGAAGGTGGGAAAAACATGATTGAAGGATGAAGCGGAAATATCTCACTTAGGCAGCTCACTGTAGCGAAAAACAACAGGGGCCGGATAAATGGAACGAAAGACGCGAGGTAGAATGACTAAACTAGAATCGACGGGGGCACGTCGCTAAATATGCGCGACAGCGTTATCGTGAACAGGAAGTGCGACCGAACTCGAACACCTAGTGATTGCGCTGGATTGATAAGAATTAAGGGCCCTACTCCCTCTCCCGCACACCGACACTATTTCATAATATTTTCACAATCTTCCAAAAGGACTGATTTTCAAATGAAAGCTATAAGATATCCTCCAAACCCTAGGAAAAGGAATTATGTACCGTATCAATTATTAAAATTTGCGCGAACTGCCAACGTTTAAAAAAACCGCATACGATGTATCTCAGCACTTTCAAGGGAAAGGTGTCAGTCATACCCTAGAAGCGCCTTTAAGGAATAGTAATTTTCATGCTTGCCAATGCGCCAGCGCCGGCGCACTTTTCACGCTCAGCGAATCGGAATCTTCCACTAAGACGAGGCGCAACTTTGTTCCACTTGAGCGGGTTGCAGTGTATCATTAGGCACGTCAAGAGAAACGGTAGCGCAGACCTGAAGCCCGGTTGGTAGCGCAGAATGTTCTTCACGGTTGGTAGCGCAGAATGTTCTTCACGGTCCACGCATTCAAACGCCTCAACGACCCCGAATGGCCAAGCCGCCGATGTGTGGGGTAAATCAGACGTGTTGGATCGCGCTGGACATTCCATCACTTTTTCCACAGTAGATGGATAGCTTCGATTTGTCTTAAAATGAAGGAAAAACGGCGGAAAATGGCGGAGTAACGTAAGAAGACGAACAGAATTTGAGTGGTCGAATAAATCATCGAAAAAGCCCCTACACTCTCAAAGCCCTCATAGTCTCATTAATATGTTTCGCCAGCCCACGCATATGCAGTGAGGAATTTGTCACAAGACTCCTTCCTGGGACTTCAAAGCGGATAAAAAATGCGACCTCATATTCTTCATTTTCCTCCTCCCATATTTTTCCGACAAGCTTTGGGTCTAAGCAGTCTATTCTGTGCTTCCATGTGGACTAATGGATAAACATTGTTCGTGAGGGAAGCACTCAAAGGAGTTAGCATTACTGCTAATTAAGGTGTGATGGAAGTTGGCGATGTGTACCTCCGGCACGATCCAGGGATCAATTCCTGGGTCACACGCTGTCGAGAGAACCAAGCCTTCCATTCCTCCAGAACCAGCCGATCGATACCACACTATGTAATGTGGGAGGATAAAAACACTTACGAACATGGGCTGCCTTTGCAGTCAATGCATAGCCTAATCACATTCAACGTGCCACTACGATTCCGAATGGAAGAAGAACGCGTGGCGCATCCGAACAAGGGTTATCAAAGCCGATTCCTATATTATTTTGCCCTTAGAGCATAGGAAGCCGTGTTTTGGAAACGTAGATATGTATATTTCTACAAAACCTCAAATATAAACCAATTTCAGGACGAAGATGGAGGCTACTACGTACCACAGGACAAACTTCGAGAAATGCTTCGCGACCCTATGAGAATTTGGAAGACCGTCGGTGGGTGCTTTCAGTTCATAATTTTTAGCTACTTAGGATCGAAATATAACGTTTCGTAAAGATCTACGCCACATGGTTGTCTCTAGCTTCTGATTAGTAGAATAGGCAGAGAGCGCAACAGACTGAGCATCTCCCATGACATATACAGTATAGGAGAAAAAGGAGACTGGGCATGTACAAATATCAAAACAGTGTGTCAGTGCGATGTATTGGGTTGGAGCATAATATCGTAGCGTTTTTTTTTCGAGCTACAAATTCAGTGAATACAAGTACTACCCAGGAAATCACATATATCATTTGAAAGTACTTCTTCCGCTCTACAAAACCTTGTTTGTTATTTTCTTCTATATTGTAAATGTACTCAGATATGGTGCTTAGAAGTTGGAAACTCAGGGTGGGCGAAAATCTATATAGAGAAAAAAGCTGCCAAAATGGGAGTTTTTTCGGGATCTATCGTCATACGTATGCATCGAAACTTACTCCGATCGACCCTCAATCACAAATCATATTTACGTCGTACATATTGAGAATGATGAGGACTCTGAAAACGGGCTCAGTACCCTTTTTTAAATTCTGGACCCGGCAATCTTTCGCGAAATGGGATCAAAGTCGTATATAATGACGAGAAGAACATCACTGATTAGTTTTATGCTTGGCTTTGCTTTTGGGTTTTGCTTTGAACGTTTTTGCCGAATGCGAGCGCTACGATATTATGCACCAACCCATACTTTGTAGACCCGCTCTTACATTAGCTAACTGCTGATTCCACAGAAATTCCGAACATAGTAATGGG